TCCGCATCTTTTTCCTACATCGTGAGTAAAATTCGGGGGAAATGGAGTCCAGTTATCTTTAAAAGGTCTCTTTCTGGTCTCGGGGTAAGATGACAAAGGTTTCGTTCAAGTGGCATATCCAGAATTTTGATTTACAGACTTAAAAGATTGGAGTTTCCAGTTTTTGCAAGACCACCTCAGCCAGGTGGCCGGACATCGGGGATCCCATAGCGGCTTCTTGGACTTGCTCGTTAATACAACCGTTAAGCGTGAAGTACGTGCTTAAACAGTAGCTCAGCAGCTTCAAGGAGTGCCTTTCCTTGAAAAGTGTTCCCTCAGGCTTGGATAAAGCCGGTTGGCAGTGCCCATAAGGCCAGAAACGGCCATCCCAATCCCCCTTGTCTTTGTCAGTAGTCTCTCTCTGCGTATATGCATACATATGATAGGGGACGCTCACCGATCGCGTTGCGGAAGACGCTTTTTCCTTGGGGCTGGGTCCCGAGCCCTGCCATCAGCCACACGGCGACATAGGCAGGGGAGATTCGAAATGGCATTTCTGGCATATTTTTCGTCATCAGCCAGCCATACCCAGTTCCAGGTTTTCGCAGCTCCAGCCTACGAGTAATCACCCAGAAGCGATCATCACAGTCTCCCTTGTCTCTGTCGATAATGCCATTATAGCTAGATATATATGCATATATGCCACTCAGGAATGAGAGCCCACCGACCCATTGACTTGCCGAAGTAGACAAACTTCGCGTGGATGATAGGGGTCACGAACAGGCGGAAGTCAGCCAATCAGCAGCGACAGAGAATGGCAGATGGCGAGGCACTGATGAACTTCACCTCCATGAATTGCTTACGGCCCACCTGATAGACCCCAGTGATGGACCAGCTGCGCCAGGTGTGTCTGCGCGCATGCTTGTGTTCCCGGTCCCAGCTGGTGGTCAGGGTTATGATTGTAAAGATGAACACACGATCTCTGGGACAGTAGGTGTAGTAGTCTGAACCTTTGGTCTCCTACAGGAGACCACCGTCCGAGAATGTGACATCAAATGAGCAGTTTTTGTAGTCAAGCCATAAAGGGGGGGGGGGGAATATG